ATATCCTTAATAGACCTTTTTGCAAAAAATATCTTTGGTTTGTTTTTATTTTTTAAGCGTTTTTGTTAAAAACTGTGACACCAACTCACACATCAGGCCCACACAGGGTCAGGATGACCAGTATCACTGTTGTCCATGTCCACATCTTGTCCCACAAGCTCTGTAGGGACAAAAACAGGCATGGAGCCGTCATGTCCTATGATAACAATGCCTTCTTCTGGAACACCTCCTGACGGACCTGCCTGAGACTCTACTTGAGGACATCACTCTTTGTAAAATACGACCAGGGTGGTTTGCTCAGCTTGCTTCCTTTTGTCATAATTTGTTTGTAAGCAGACAATGCACCATGAGCATTCTCTCTATTAATGAAAAAGTTTTGGTGTTGAGGCCCATGTTTTCTAACCTTTTAAGAAGCTTGTTAAGGTCTGCAAAAGCTTCTGCTTAACCCTTCACTGTGAATTTTCTTGGGGTTCTTCTTTATCTTCTCCTTTTCTCTTGCTTCTTCTTCAGCTATGCATTCCTGTTCCTGCTCCAACAACTCCTCAGTAGTCAGTCCTACAGCACCACCTTTAGGAGCTCCCCAATGTCATCCTCAGGCACACCTTGGTTAAAGCTGTTTCCCATATCACCACACCCCTGGTGATTTTTACAACCTTTTTGCTAAATCAGGGCAGCTATGGCATCACTAGGTGATAGGAACTTTTCAGCTCCATTATAATCTTATGGAACCACTGTCATATGTGCAGGCTGGCATTGACTGAAATGTTGTTGTGTGGCACATGACTGTATGCATGCATCTCCTCTGTCAGCAGGCTCAGGCCTGTGTCCTTCAGAGAGGACAGGAAAAGGGGTAGTCCAGCTTACAAGGGAGCACCCACCTTCCCATGTTCCCTGGTGAGGGGTGGGCTTCCCACGTTCTCCAGTGAGGAATGTGCTTCAGCGCTGGTGCTGAGGGGAACAGATGTAGTGGCTGGCTGCTCGAGCCCTTCCCTCTCCAGAAAGGCCCCATGGTTGCCACAGCAAGAGCACCGGCAGATCCCAGGCCTTTATGGTCCACCTGGGCAGGTAGCTTCCCTCCAACTTTTTAAAATCCCATATGTAAGTGAGATCATACAGTTTGTTCTGCCTGACTTACTTCACTTAACCTCAAGGACCATCCATGTTCTTGCAAATGACAGGATTTCCTTTTTTTTTAAAAGGGTGAATAAATGTTGTAAATACATATGTTCTTTATCTACCTATTTGGTTGAGAGGTTATTTTTCTTAATCATGAGTAAATGTTGAACTTCGTCAAGTGCTTTTTCTATACCTGTTGAGATGATAGTGTGGTTTTTATCCTTCAATCTGTTAATGTGGTATATTAATTTGCATATGTTGAACCAGCCTTGCATTCCAGGAGAAAATCCCATTTGATCATGGTGAATAATCTTCTTGATGTGATACTGAATTCAGTTCTCTTGTATTTTATTGAAGGTTTTTACACCTGTGTTCATCAAACATACTGGCCCGTAGTTTTCTTTCTCGTGGTGTCTGTCTGGCTTTGAAATCAGGTGATGCTGCTTCATGAAAGGAGTTTGAAGGTGTTACCTCTACTTTTATTTTTTGGAAGAGTTTAAGAAGGCTCAGTATTAATTCTTCTTTCAATGTTTGGTAGAACTCAGCCGTGAGGCCATTTGGCCAGGTCTTTTCTTCTTTGGGAGCCTTTTGACTACTGCTCAATCTCCTTATTTGTTATTGGTCTGTTGGTTTTATTTCTTCTTGATACGATCATGGTAGGTTGCATGTTTCTATGATTTATCCATTGCTTCTAGATTATCTAATGTGTTTGCATATAATCATTCATAGTAGTCCTTTCTGATTTTTACTTATTTCTGAGGCATATATTTTATTTTTTATTTTATTTTTTAATATATTTTATTGATTTTGTACAGAGAGGAAGGGAGAGAGATAGAAAGCTAGAAACATCGACGAGAGAGAGTCATCGATCAGCTGTGAGGCATATATTTTAATGTCTCCTCTTTCATTTCTGATTTTTGATTCTTCTTTCTTATTTTTCTTAGTCTAGCTAAAGGTTTGTGGATTTTGTATATATATTTTTTCAAAAATCCAACTGAGTTTTGTTGATTTTTTCTATTGCTTTTCTATTCTCTATTTCTGCTCTGATCTTTATTATTTTCTTCCTTCTGTAAACTTTGGGTTTACTTTGTTTTTCTTTTTCTAGTTCTATGAGGTTTAAGTTTAGGTTGTAAATTTGATATCTTTCTTCTTTTTTAACGTAGACATTTCTGTGTGATGGTCTTATGGTGAGGTTACAAAAGACAAGCGCATCATCTTAGGATCAACTAGTAGGCCCAGCTGTGCTGGCACTAGTTGCCCTTTGGTGCCGCCTGGTGGTGGAAATTTCCTCAAGTACAATAGGACGACAGGAGCAAGAAACCAAGGATCACACAGCTAAGTGAAACCTCTCTCATCAGAGGTCCGGGGAACCTGGGCCAGGGAACATGGGGCCACAAAAACCCCACTGTAAGCCCAGCTTCATTTTCTCTCACTAACCCTTTCTTAGAAGAGAAGGCAACCAGTCAAAAGAGGTAGAAGTGGTGATGCCTCCATCTGCAAATAGCTGTTACAAAGTCAGGCCAGAGTTCCTCAGATGGGGAAAACCTGTGGGGAGGGTTTGCGATCTTGGAGGGGAAGAGGAGCCCCAGTGCTGTAGCCCGATAGCAACTAAAGGGTAAAGGGAAGTGCAGACTGGAGAATCATCCCCCCTCATTGTGTGAAATCAAAACAATGTTTTCACCCCATCTGTGAACAAAAGGAAATGGGAGGGGCGTGGCTCACCATCTCTTTCCGAGTGTTGTTGAGCTCCGACACAACCTCATTCATCTTCTCACTATATTGCTGCTGTTGTTCAACAAGGTGATTTTGCAAAGATTTATTTTCAAGAGTCAGGTAGTTGATTTCTTCACTCGCAGTTGTCGAACTGTCCTGAGTTGATGTAAAGTCTTGAATAGATGACAAAATATGTCTTGCCTGAGCTAGAAGTAAAAATCAAGTATTATTATTGCATTTATGACAAGAGATTGTGTAAACAAAATATGTTCAACACATATTGAATAACACACACTACATGCCTTAAAAACACAGATAGACATGGAGACTGGCAAAGGGATAAGGGTACCATTGACATTACCTTCACTCAGGCTGTTTTACATCTAGTCAAGGATGAGAGGCAGAAAAGAACAAAAAAACGTTTTGTTCTAGAGAAAAAGTACCCCTCAGGAGAAGACTACAACTAGGAAGACTGGACTGAATGCCCAAGCAGCCCACCACACTATCTTCAACAGCCCTGCTGCTATCCTAACGAGAGGGTATAGATTTATGGGATCAGCATTCTTGGGGATCCTGATTCTGAAGTGCTCAGGAGCCTCTGGTGTGGCTAGGATGGCAGCTTCAAGCAGGGCCCAAGGTCTCTTGGGAAGGAGAGGGCTGGCAGGTCCCCACTCCAACTGGGACACTGCATATCGCCCTGCAGAGACTGAGGAGGAAAGAGGGGTCTCACTGGGGATGCAGCACCCTGTTTCACATTCTGACTCTGGGTGATGGGGTTCCCAATGTGCTCTTGTACCCAGGCACTAGGTGGAAGCAAACCTCTCAGGGGAGGGGCCGTCCTCCTGGACCTCAGAATTTAATTTTCATTAAAATTTAATTTCCATCGAAATCTCGGCAAATACCAGCTCAAAGAAGACAATATTAGCTTTTTAACCTCTCCAAATCCCCATGTGAAAACAAAGCCAAGAGAACCAAATACCTGTGAATGGCACTTCCAACAAAACCAGGCAACGAGGCATCCCCTCAAACACCAAAGCCAGTAGCTAGGAAAACCAAAAGCTATTCCTCACGGGGGCCCCCAGTTACTGAGAGGACATTATCAGGGTATTCACTGCAGCAAAGCAGCCACAGTGATAGCTGATGAGGGTGCAGCATGTGAGGAACCCAGAACCCCATGGGAGAGCAAGTACCCACTAACACAATGCTACCCAAAGGGTGGGCCTACACGTGGCTCTGAACTGATGAGCTGACTGTCCCTTCCCAACTCACCCAGGAACACCTCGTTGCTATGCAGGGACTTGCAGCCACTCCAGTACCTGTCCACCAGGTCGAGGAGTGTTTCTAGGAGTGCCACCTCCAGGGTAGCCTTCCCAGGTGGCACAGCTGAGAGCAGTTTGGGAGTCACCTGCAATAGAAACAAAACCATGACATAGGTTTTCAGTTCCTGAAACACAAGGCTTCTAACACCACATGCCAAGGGAGCACTGCTCGGCCCAAGTTCACCTCAGGGGCAGGATAGCCCATATCCTATAACTGGACAGCATGGTAGCAGTAAGGCCTGGCTCCTTGCTGCCTAGAACTGAGGCTGAGACCAGCCCAATGAGTGTTCGGCTCAAACACCTCCAGCAGAATCTGAATCTGGATACTGGGCCAGGGTGACAGACATGCATACAGAGCCAAAGTCTTCAGGGTAGACACAGTGCAGTCACACAGATTTCTGTCTTCCATCTGTGGAGCATGGGTGGTGCCCTTTCCATAAGGACGACCACCATGAGGCCATAGCTGTGAGCCGAGAGGAGAGGGAGCCCTGGGCAGCACCCCTCCTATAAAGTCCCAACCCTACAGCGAGTATGCACATCTGCCACACAGCTCTGCCCCTGGTGCTATCCCTTGGCAGACTGGAAAAGCCTGTGCACATCCCATTTTCCTTTCTCCCCTCAATTCAGACAGCTAGACAGTGAGAACAGATGATAGCCAGGCCCTCTGTAAAAGCAGACTCTGACTCACAGCCTGCAGGGACCAGCTGGGAAGCCAGCCTGCCATGTCCGTCAAAATGCATGGAAGCACATTTCTAGCAAAATAGAGGTGACAAACACCAATGAAACATGCATTGAACAGTTGTATTTATCTTGGGATCACAGTTAATGTTGAAAATAGAAGACACAGCAGCCCCTCAGCTAGAACATCCAGGCATCCTTAGCTCTCTGCTCACCTCTCTGGTGCCACTCGTGCTGTGGGGCCTCTGCTCTTCAGACTCAGACGACTCCAGATGAGAACAGGTCCTCTCACTCCTGATCTCCAGGTGAGAACAGGTCCTCTCGCTCCTGCTCTCGGAGCCAGTCTGCCTGCTCAGACCCTCCTCCAGGCAGCTGAGACACTCCTGGTCTGCAGGGGCCTGGAATCTCCCTCCGGGCATTCTTCGCTTCCGGTACTTTTCCATACCAGGCAAAGGATTTAACGCCTTTTGTGTTGACAAACATGACGTCTGAGAAGAGGAGGTTGAGTTCTCTATGTCTATGCAGTCTATAACAGAGATGAGAACACAACTCTCATCAGACCAAGTTCTCTGGGCACAGGTATACCTGTGCATGCACTGTGTGTGCATGCATGTGTGCACATACGGGAAATCCATCAGCATAACAAGACTGAATAATAACTTTAACAAATTAATTGGCTAATGATTATACTTTTCTTGCCAAAATTATGTTTAACAAAGTTGAGTAAAAACCTAAAAATTTGGAAATTAGAGAGGGCTCAACAATTTGTTCCTTTAGGAGATTCTGTTAACTTTAGTTCCTGGGACCCTCCCTACCTCAGGGGGCACTGCCCACATTTGCTAACAAAGAGTGTACATACATACATATGGACACACATACATCTATACATGCACACATAGAAACATGCACACACACAGGGTGGGGACAAGGGTACAACAGTGCAAATGTGGTCAGTGCTGACTTAGGGGGTCTGGATGATGTAGATATGAAACTTCCTTATTCTGCTGTGGCAGCATTTCTGTGTTCACTCTGGGAATTCACAAGGACTTCAGGTCAATAAAGAGGTCTAAAGGTCAAGCACATGCACCTTTGTGAACAGGTGAAATGATGAATTCTGACAATCAACAGAAATGAAGGTCCTGTGCACCCATACACCACAGCATCATCATGAAGTCTCAGGATATAAGGTAAAAGTAAGCAGGACAACGAAAGTAGAGAATATAATAGGGGTGTGTGTTACCTGGACTCAACACCATACCCTGCTCTGTAGTGGTCACCGGCAACTTGGGCAGGTCATCACCACAACCCACCGCCCGGATTAAGGAGTCAATGGCGGTTGTTGCGTGAGATACCTGGGAGTGGGAGAAAGTGCACGTGATGTCCGAAGGAGCAGCAGGTCTCGGGCTGGTCTCCCTGCTGGGGCGGGAGCTCTCCACAGTACTGGTTCTGAAGCCTCTTTTCTGGACAACATCCTCTGGAGCTGCTTTTTCTCTTCTCGTGGCCCTTCTTTATGGAGTCCCCACACTGGTGCTGGACTAAGTGAGGACTCACCAGATGTCTGGATTCTATTTTATTAAAGAACATTTAAAAAGTTTTAGTTCATTAAAAATTACATTTTAAGCTTCTAATAGGGTACTATATCTATTAAGTGTACCAATTAAATAAGAAAAAGATGACTGAGAGAGTTAATAATGCAACCGCTGCCCTAACCGGTTTGGCTCAGTAGATAGAGCGTCAGCCCATGGACTGAAAGGTCCCGGGTTCGATTCTGATCAAGGGCATGTATGTTGGTTGTGGGCACATTCCCAGTAGGGGGTGTGCAGGAGGCAGTTGATCAATGTTTCTCTCTCATGGATGTTTCTAACTCTCTATCCCTCTCCCTTCCTCTTTGTGAAAAAAAATCAATAAAATACTTTAAAAAAACAATAATGCAACCGCTAAACCTGTAGTGAGTCGAGCAATCACTGCAAACAGTGCTAACAGGTGCAAGACTGACACTGAACAACCACCACTCGCTATACAGCTGAGGAGTCAAGACAGTGTGGCATCGACACAAAGTCAGACATGATGACAGATAAAACAGCATCCAGAACCCAGAGAGAGATCAGGTTAACTGAATTAACAAATGTGTCAGGGTTATTAAATGAGACAAAAGGCAGTATTTTCAACAAGTAGCATTAGCACAACTGGATACGGGGTGGAAGTGAGGGAGAGACAACCTGACCCACCGCTCACTACGGTCACAAATCCACTCTAAGCATGGAGGAGCACAGACCGGAACACTGAACCATCGGACATCTACACGCCCACAGGAGAAAATCTTCATGAGCATGGGACAAAGATTTTTTTTTTCAGGGCACAAAAAAAAAAAGCACAAATCATATAAAGAAAAAACTGATAAACTGGACTTTACTGAAATACAAATGAAAACCATAATTAAATATTAATATTTACTCAGAAGAACAGCCAGAATAAAAAAGACTGGAAATCTAAGAGCTGGCAAGGATACCCAAGGAGCAGATGTTTTTGTGCCAGGAGGTGAATCCTGGGATTTCATCTCAAACTTACACCTCAGCCCGTTGTTGTCTTATGAAAAGCTCTCAGAAACTCATAATGGAAGAAGAAATGGTGCTAAAGCTTATAAAAAGTCCCAATGAGAAAGAGTGTTTGGCAAGGTAAGGACATTCATGCATGCACTAGAAGCCTTCACAATGAGCTTGCCAGGTTTAAAGTTCTAACGCGTTAGACTGAGCTCTAGGTGCTCCCTAACGCTAAGTGAACACCCCCTTGTGGCTGACACAGACGTCAGTTCCACTAGCCACAGGACATGCTACCTTCTTGCCCATGTGGACATTTTACCTCCTCCCTACAACTGTAATTGATGTGAGGAAGAATTTAAACCACCATGTAGTGTATGACTATACTCAAATACACGACTTCTTTTATAATTCTGTAAACCAAATTACTGATATTTACAAGTACACAGTACTTCATGAAGGTTCTATATTTAAAAGTAAGCTTCCTAAAAAATACAGCTGTGCCCAGAGCAAGCTGGACCCGTTGGGCCTTCGGGTGGAGCAGTGTACCTTGGGAATTATGGAAGTCATCCTCTTGCTCCTTCTGGCTGGAACTTGTGCTCCTAGGAGGGTTGCTCAAGTCCCACTCACATTCGGCAATGAGGTTCAGGACTGCCTCGTCATCCGCATCCATGACTAAGCACTTCTTGGCTGAGGGGTCAATGCACTTAACTCTGGAGTGGTGCAGTCTGCAAAGAAAAGCCAACTCAGTGCTTCGCTCCAACCTGAGCAGACCCTGTGCGGGGACACGAATGCACTGCCAACACAGCCACAGGACTCTTGGGAAGAGCAGTTGATGTAACTGCAGGAAATGGCTCTTGTGCCTCTACTAACATGAGGTCTAGGAGGGACCCAGCAGGACAACTGGCGATGGAAAGCAAGGGTGATGTCATCACACCATCCAGTATGTGCAGAGTCCCACTAGGGTTTGTTCAAGAACAGAAGTTCAGAAAGCTCCTCTTTTCCTAAACAAAATAGTGTACAAGGAGTGTACACCTTTTCAGACAAAACAAAATAGTGTACGAGGAGTGAATAATCCTAGCACATTATAAGAAATGTCAACAGTGTATTGACTTTTGCCTTTAGAATCAACTCATACACAAAGCATGAAGACTCTTTATGGATTTAGAACATTTAAATACTATTGGCCCTGACAATCTGAAATTAAACATAAAGATGAAGACGGCCAGAGGGGAAAGGGCACGGGCTCCCACAGCCCCACCAGAGCAGAGCCTTTAGCACTGGCCACAGGCTTTGAGCAGAGAATGCAGGAGGGCACAGTCCCATGTCACCACGGGATGGGGAAGGGGCTATGGCAGCTGTCAGGCCCAGCTTCAAGTGTGCACACCCAGAAATGGCAATTAATTTGTATTGTCCGGGGATGAGGAAGGAAGCAGAGACAATCACAGAAGTGAATGAAAAGTGGCTGCTCTGAGGATGGGCCGGGCAGTGGGGAATGGGGACTGTTGTTTCTCACAAGTCTTCTGTGCTATTTATTTACATGTATCAGTTTAACAAACATTTTAATATTAAAAATAATTTATAGAAAACGTGGACAACAGAGAGAGACTCAGTCCCCCTCTCTCCTTGAGTCCCAGCTGGTATCCGGGCATTTTTGCTTCCCTCTTCCTGCATGTCTGCCCTTTTAGTGGCGTTCAGAGCACAAAAACATTAACATGTGTTAGTTAATACAGAGCTTTATAACTTCTAGTCATTCTATGAATAGATAAGCCTGAGCACCTTCTTTCCACATCTGAACACCACTCGTGGTCATACCTTCCAACTCTGCAAACAGCTGGGAAGCTTTGTGTGGAGTCGAGTGATTCCTCTGAAGCAAAATGCAACTGGGATGCTTTCCGCTCGCTCTCTCTCACGGGACGGTCATCTAGGGAGAAGCAAACACCACCATGAGGCAGGTGCACCGTCCGGCACCCCGTCACCGCCCTGCAGCACATGACCAGGCTGCCACCACTCATTCCAAACCTCTGTCCCCCCGGGGCTGCCCCATAAACACTGATACACCCAGTAAAGGGGTGCTGGGGTCTGGTGGCTACACCAGATGCTGAGTGCTTATTCCAAGAGGACTGTCCTGCTCCCACAAAGCTCTCTCTCCAGACACCGCTTTGGAGGCAGGCTACTGCCACAGGAAAAGAAATACACAGACGAGTTCACACACAGGCACCTCCTTTTAAGGCCCCCCCCCCCCCACCTCAATGTACATTTTGGGGGCTGCACGAGGTTCTCGAGCCACACTGAGCACACTAAGAATCTCTGGTGTGAGATAGAGAGGAGACATCTTAGCTGAGTGTTTGGATCCTCAGATCCTCAGAATTGGGAAACAGAGAGATAAGTGTAAACTGTCCCATGTGTGCTCTGAGCCTGAGGCCTCTACTCAGCAACTCCCAGTCCTGCAATGACTTTGAATTTCAATTACATTCCTTTTTCATGTCTGAAAATATCTTCCCCATGTGGCAAGACTCTCATTTCCCTTCTCTAAACAAACATTATAGAATTCTGAACCTAAAACTTTTATGACAAAAGAAATTATTTAAGACTAAAGATTGCAAACATTTCTCATAAGAATTGCAATGCTTCTGAAAAAGAGCCAAATTCAACTATTTATAAATTACTTAGTCAAAATTTAGAACAGAAGCACTTATTCCTCCCAATATCTAAAAATTAAACGAAGCATTGAAATTCTAAGTAGGTTTGACCCTTTGGAGGTCAGTCATTCATACCCACAGCCCAGCCCTGCTCGAGGCCCAGGCAGTGCAGAGGGGACTAGAGGATAAGCTGACACGCATGTGCTGCTGAGATGTGCATACATTCACTCACAGCCAAGAGATGCAGAACATGGGTTTCTACAGACACTGGCTGGAAGTGACAGGACAGTGGCAGCGGTCTGCCTGCAGCTCAGTGTTTACCACCAGGGACAGGTGTGGGGCACTGTCTTCCCTGACAAGTGCTAGCCTGATGTGGCTCTCACTTTGGTATTATTAGATCAGAACCCAGGAGATGGAGATGCCTAAACTGTATCCTCAGCCGCTCCGAGAAGTGAATGGGCCTGCAGGTTAGGGACATGCTGTGATCACTGGGGCAAATGACCACACCCTTCAATCAGATATACCTGCACCGCAGCTACCCAGCATTTACCACCACACTTTACACAAGAG